TGTACAATTTTAAAAAATTACAAAAATCATGTCTTCAAAAACGGATTCAATTTTTTTCTTTAAATTTTGGTAAGATTTATGCTAATTGCACACCATGAAATTATATAAACGCCATATTGCTCTGTTGTTTTGTTTTTCAAAAATTAGAAAACCAAATTTTTTTTACTTGTCTCTCACGTCGTTAATATTTATATTAGCGGAAATTTGTTCACATTATTATATTCATGAATATATGTTCTTTAAATAATTTCATATAAAGCTTCTCAAAAACTCAACCGCTTTTTTAAAACTACCTCAAAATTTCGCAATTTCAGAAACGCTCAAACGCCATTTTCTCAAAACCGGCTCAACTTTTTTTCTTCAAACTTTCAAAAAAATACTGCTAATTGCATTCTTTAAAATGACGTTAAGTTCATTTCGGTGTAATTTTTCGTTTTTTCAAAAATTATACAAATGTATTTTTTTTTTTTAAGATTTCTCACGCCGTTAATGCCCACATTTACAGCGATTTGAAAACACTATTGTATTTGTGAGTTAAAGGGATTCAAATGACTTAAACTGAAGTTTTTCTAAATCTCAAAACTTTTCTGTGAAAAAATGCTTCAAATTTCGAATGAACTGTAGCACTTAAGCGGCATTTTCTTAAAAATGGCTCCAAATTTTTCAAAGAAAATTGTCATTTAGGAGGCGGTTTACTGATCTTTAATATCCTTTAAATAATATTTCCGTTCTATTAGAAAACCGAAAAATGAAGAACATTTTAAAAAAGTGTACTTTGGGTGGCGATAGATTGCAGCTGGCAAGTTCGAATAGCTAGCCGAGACCAAAGGAAATAGAAAACAAACACGGGAAAATCTGTGCCATTCTGTAGCACCACTAGTTTACCGTTCTTTGATACATATGTGAAGAAATTTTACAAACAAAACTTCAAGTCGAGTTAGAGAAAATAATTGTTTAAAATTGCCTAAATTTCAGGCAAAATTAAGCGAAAACTATTCTTATTTTCGAAAAATAGTACACGACGTTATTTCAAGGTCAGTCTTTCAAAGTACTTTTATAAATGGATATTGTAGTTGTAGGAAGACACCGAAAAAAAATAACTTTCCCAATTTTCGAAAAACTAGGGATTTTAACGATAATGAAACGCGCTAGATTTTTTAAGGATTTTAATGCTATACGTGAACAACGTTAAATCAAAAAATACGAAATATTTTTTGAGAAATTTTTGAAAATGTTGAGGGTTTAGATCGACCCGGTAATGTCAATTTTAAAGTAAACCGTCTTAAATAATTATGCGCTACTACTAACACAGACAGAATGGCAGTTGGAGAAGTGGTCAGACGGGCAGTCGGACAAACGGGTAAACAGACTGACAGATGTTTTACAATCAATCGCTATTTCGGAATCAAGGACCCACAATACATGGATTCTGACTACACAGCGTGTTAGATGAAGTAATTTACTACATATAAAAAAAGGTTTATACATTTCTCGTTACCAGAGTCCGCAATAAAAGTTTATCTGTCGAATACATTGCCGGTTTCTGAATCACGATTATAATATTTTATCTTCTTACTAAGTAGGCTAGAAAGTAAAATTCGGCTGCTCATCTCCAAACTTTGTAAAGAATGTTGTATTAAAGGATAATGACAAGGGTGAAAGATCTGTAAAAAGATGGAAGTATAGGCGTGAGCATCTTAAAGCAATAGGGGACCAACAAGTTTCCTGAACTCCCTTATCCACTACCGCAGCAGAGTGGAAGTTATGTAATGCTGCGCGAAAAAACTGCGAATTTTTACTTTCACGGTGCTACTTATACAGTATAGAGAAAGTTATGTAATGCTGCGGGAAAAAACTGTGAATTTTCAACACAAAAATAATAATCTTCCGGGTCAATGAACCCCATCTCGTTCACGTTTTTGTCCAGTTTCTCCGATCCATTGAGCAAATGCTGAGATGGTCCTTTGTTTTGCTTCTGGACGTAAATGTAGCTTCACTATGCGCACGTTTTGTTAAACTCTCCTTTTTCTTATAATTGCTTCTTTTGCTTATAATGATTGGAGTAGAGGTAAGGGCGAGTTACTATTTTGTTAGCAATGCAGAAAAATCGTACTTACAATTCGTTTGCCGATGCAGTTTTCTATAACTCGGGAACGAACATATCTACTTTTTCAAATATTATTTTTATTTTAAAATCTTACTCATCTTTCAACTATTTATGGTTAAAATGAAGGGAAGGGATTCTGAAACTCAAGAAAACGTGCGCAAATTATCATCTCCCCCATAACTCACATACAGTTTTTACTGTTTTTTTTTGACTAAATAAATCTAAATTACCTGACCCTCGCGTCATTCATAATTTCCTTAATTGAAATTAGCCCAATTGTGTTTTGTTAGGCAAAAAGTACAAATCACAAAAAAATTGACATTCCAAAATTACAATTTCAATTATAGTTTTTTATTTTTGTTAAATGAAATTTTTTCTAGTGGGGCTGCAACAGCACACACTTTCTCGCGATAATGGAAATTGCTACAATATAACACAATAATATTGAAGTATAGCATTTTCTGCGCTACTAACACCTCAGCCAATACTTGAAAACATCCAATTCAAAAACAAAGCGCCTGTGATGCATTTCCATAGTCAGCAGCAGCCATCATTTCTTACTGTGACAAATGAAACAAACAGGAATACATTTGACTGATACAGTCTTCGCAGCAAAATATACAGAAGATAGCAAAGTACTGTTGCCAGCGCAGCGTTGTCAAAACTATGTGCATTTGCTTGGCGAATAATAACAATTCTTTGCAAATATGCTTATATCCATCTGTATTCAGATTACAACTTTTTTATTGGTTAGTCATAGTACATAGTAGATCCGGGGTCATCTCATGAGAAATAGTAGATCATTTGGAGCGAAAACGAAATATTTTCAGGCAAACATCCACACAAATGTAGCAATTTTAACTCCTTTTCATACAGCTAAATCATGTCACAACAAAGAGATGAAATTCACTGATCACACATTTCACTACAAATCACCAGATTCAGTACCTGGTCAAAGGTGACTTAAATAAATATTTTAAAGGTGACAATTCAGAGTACCTTAAAACAAGAACTCTGTTCAGAACTTTGTAAAAACAAAACAGAATAACAAAAAATCAAATGGGTTTTTACGTTGTATATAAAATATTCAAAATGGATGTTATCTAATCTCAGTGGTTCAATAATTTGGATCTGTCCCATTTCCCAAACTTAACTCCCACTTTTTCCCTAACAAAATAATGTATTGAATACAAATATCCACATTAATTCTTCTGACAACTGTTTTTCTATTCAATCTCTAGGAATACAGGACATCAGTTAACCAGTTTCTCTCAATAATGGCAGATTTCCTGAAACCCTTAAGTCTGGGGCAAAGGAATAAGGGAACAAATGGAACTCACGAAGACACACAAAACATATGCATCATGACATTCATCTCACTAAGCACCAAAAGCATTTTGCTCTCTTTTTGGTCATTTTGGAGAAAAATTTTTTAATAACCCCAGAACATAATACTAACTTACAACAATCACGAGGAAAAGCTCACTTTTTCACTTGCCAATGTTATTCAATACATACAATTATTTATATTTTGTCAAATTCAGTTTTGTCTAATTTTATATAAAGAGAAGTTATTTGCACCCTTCCACTCACATATTGGCTACAGCTGAAACTTCTGAATTATAGAATTAAATTAATGAACAATTGTATGATTCACTCCAACTTAAAGAACTTACTTCAATATTAATGTGTTAGTTTCCATCTGGTGTATAATGTAAGAGAGATCCACAATACAAGATAGAGATATATATTTAATGAAACACAAATTACACCAACAACTTTTTTTGTATTTTCATTCAAAAATTACATTTAAATAGCTTTTATAAATATTTTCTTAAATGTATCAAATGTACTCGGTTTAAATTGATGAGTACTATTAAACATAACCATGTGACAAGTTCAAATACTTTTGAGGCACATAACACTTCATTAGTGAATATTTGAAATTATTTCCATTAATGCAATCTTTCAACTACTTTTCATGCTTTTCCTGATGTCAAAAGAGCAATAAGAATAATTCCTGTCAAATATTCCAAAAAAAAAAACAATAATAGTATAAAGTAAACTAAAAGTATAAAGTGAAGTAAAACTTCACACTATTAATAAAACACTGAGAACTGAATTATTTCAAATGAGGGAAGTTTGTTATAACCTATTATTCAGCTTTTCTGAACACAAAATGAACCAATTTTCATGAATTTTTCTTTGAAAGTAAACATTTAAAACGCTTATTTTGAAATAGATTCATTTCATATGTAGAAGCAGGATGACAATTATCTTTCATGCATTCTTTGCAATTCTGAATTTCATCCATATTACTTTGTTCACTTTTCAAATAATGTCACATTAAATAAATTACAAACACATTTATCAAAATGAAAAATTTTCTGCGACTTGAAATTCCCAAGATGTTGAAGCTTCCAACTATTTTCTCATAATTATTAAATATGTACTAATTGCCTTCTTAAATATATTACACAAATATATCTTTTTTTTTTAAATAAAAAAAAATTGAAATAATACTTATCTTCATTTACTCACATTCTCTCTACCAAAGAATGCAATCGGGAATGAAACTTTTTTTTCTCATTTGACACCTTTACATAACTTTTCCGTCAAAAACATACATTACAATAATTTTTTCAATTAATAAACACCATTTCCAGAATAATTATCTTTTATTACAATCCAGGAAGCTACTGTTTCGTTGGGTTCATTAAAAGAAATTTGTTGAAAGCATTCAGAATTACTAATGTTAAGATTTTTATCAACCCATTGATTACTCTTTGTATCATTCTGAATACGTATTTTTTTGTAAGGTAGTTCATTAATCTCCTCTTCAACTATTACAAATGAGGAATTGTCATTTATTTCCTCTGCATCTCTTATTGCATCTTTGAGAGGATTGATTAATTGCTTTAGGGTTTCCAATCCTTTCTCGGATTTCACTTCTGCATTAATCAGATTAGCAATTTCCAATATAATAACCTGTTTGCCTTGTTCTATATCTTCCTCTTCACTGTTTGGGGTTAGTTGAATAACAATTACATCTTCTTTTTCTGTTGATTCATTATCACTAATTTGTTCATCTGGAAACTGTTGATAAATTTCCAAAACTTGAACTGAAATTGCTCTGCAAACAAGATGAATATGCTTACACATATTCCCCAATACTGCAGAATCTGTGCAGGTACAAGAAAATGTATGTAAACAAACAGCACATTCTTCACATTTCAAATTGCAACTGCAGTCTTTCTTGCATAAAGAAACATTGTATGTATCAGTTCCAAAAAACACTGCCCAGCCATCCTCACCCAATGTGTAGACAGTGTCAAGAGATAACTCGAGTGAAGACTGATGCCGCTTCCTTACACAAACCAACTTCTTACTGATATTACTCTTACAATGTTGATCTAATCTCTGAAATACACGATCTCTCAAAAACTTTTGTAGGGCATGAATTGATTTTATTAACTTTTTACTTTTTTTACCGGCCTGGTAAATGTGTTTAAAATTTTTATGGAAAATCTCAAAGATAATATCAGTATTATATCCAACTTCTAATCTGTAACAGAATGCCCATTTAGAAGACTCCTGGATAAATCTTTCAAAATATTTTACAAAACTGTTGGTCAAATCATTGTTAGCCATTTCTTCCATTAATAAATTTGACATTTCAAGAAATGCTGTTTCATCACGTTCCATCATGAGAATTTTCATTTTTTTGTAAACTTCAACTTTTTTCTCTTCAGATTTTATTTTACTTAAATACTGTTCCCACACTTTATCTACATGCCATGCAGCATACAACTGTTGAATGTCTTTCTTTGGAAAACGGGAGGTCCAAACATCGAAGAAAATTTCATCCATATTGCTTATGAAATATTTGGGTGATAAAGAACATCCAACATTTTCTACTACTGTCTTGAAGAAGAGGTCCAATATAGAAGAATCACTCCTATTTGAGAACATGAATGCACATGGAAAACCATTTCTTTCTTCATCAAAAACAAGAATAGTAAAAAATTGATAGTCATATCCTGAATGCCCATGAACCACATCTACACACAAAATATTATTTCCAAATTTCCTTAACGCATTCAGCTGTTCTTCATTGGCAAAAATTAGGCAAAAATCATTTTCTTCTAAATCTGGAAAATGTATACCACGAGGTTTATAAAATCGAATAATATTCCCATTTTCTTTCATAAATTTTACCCATTTACCCACAGCTTCATCATCTTCATCAATGTCGGGTATATCTGAATCTAGTCCATATTGCAGAATTAATCTTTTTAGATCTCTCTTGGTTGTTAAATGAATCCTTTGTAAATTGTCTTCTCCTACTGTATTCCTAATCCCTTGAAGAATGTCTTCAAGTGGTACTTTCATTCTAATTTGTTCTGCCAACCTTTCTCTCTCTGATACTGTCAGATTCATTCTAGTAATATCACAGCTATGTCCTACATGGGTACTCACAAAACAAACTGTCACTTTGCCATCACTGTTCTCTGTTGTCCTAATACTAGCAGGGCAGTTGGCTTGAATTTTATTTGTACCAGCAGTCTTCCTACACATACCATTTTTGCTTTTGGGAACATAATCACCACCACGATGACAATAATAATAGGTATACAAACTCCCATCTTTTCTCTTTGATGATCCACTATGTTTTACAAACCTTGATTTAGTTTCCTGTTCCATTTCTTCTTTCCAGGAGTTAAATTCTTCACGATTAGAAAATGTGACACTTTCTTTCTGCAGAATGACATTATGAAACTCATATAAATGTTCATGAAATTTTTTCTTTAATTCTTTTTTGCATAAAGGACACAATCTAGGTTTATACCTTACATGTTTTTGATGTATTCTTAAATGTCTAGTCAAATTGAAATTATCTCTGAACACTTCCTTACACACTGTACATTCCATTATAACTAAGGGTCAGGCAAACAATATTACAAAACTAAGTCGAAATCCGGGCAGGTTACATTGCCTAATAAACATTTGTGAGTCTTTACAAGACAAATACTAATTCAGTCTTCAGTGAGGATCAAAAACAGTTTTCAAATCCACCGGAGTGCCCTCGGTTCTGCCTGAAGTTGCCAATACCATCTCGTGCAGATCTCGTGTTTTGTCGAATTATCGCCACAAGAGCAGGACCGAGCAGCACCAGCACAAATAAGAGAGCAAAGAATACAAAGCGAGAGATGTCCAGAACAAGTGACTTTCACGGTTGGTGAGGGCAGCACTATCATCTTTGAGTGGCAAGAGTTCAAATTGGAAGTCGTGAGTTAATGGTTAAAACATAGTGTTCGAAGTTAGATGTACATTTTTTTTTTCTAAAATAAACTTGTATATTCACTATAACAAACTTGTGCGCGTTAGTGGAAAAGAGGGCGAGAGAGACACTACGCTTTCCCGCAACTGTTCCCAGAAATTGCGAATGTAAAATTATACCATCCTCGGAACAAAGATGACAATGTGGATAGCTGCTTTGAAACGAGAGAAGTTTGATGGTTATCCAAAGTCTATCAGTGGCCGCTTTCAAGTACCACTATCTTTGTAAATCGCAAATCAAACGTCTAAACATTTTCCTATCATTCTCAAATGTTTCACCTGCAACCGTGTGCAGATTTTCCTAATTTTTGCAATAATATATACAACAAACTAGAAAGGACATAGGTCTCACAGTAAATAAGGTGTTATTCACACACGCCACGCTTCATTGTATGAGCTATTAACATTTTGTGGACCTTCAAGACTTTATTTGAATAAAAGCTAAACCCAAATATTACGTGGCTCACCAAATCAGCGGTTTACTTCTGCCGCCAGAATTATCAAATTATCTGTGTTAATAATCGCAACAAATTGACCAAAATGTTCATTAAAACTCAGTAAGCAACTGATACTGAATTTATATGACGTTTGATATAAGAATGTTAAGATTTTTTATTCGAAATTTAACCTGATTATAATTTGTAAAATTAAATACTGCAATTTTTTGTTATAAAATAATTTTTCATTTACTGATATTTAACGCATTCAAATCTTTAGTTTTGAACTCCAGGCGCCTGGCGACCCTTCTTAGGGGGTCCTCTGGGCCCGACCCCGGTTCTTAGGGCGACATATCACCGGGGCGCGGCGAGCGCGAGCCAGCGCGACACTGGCACTGCTTCTGGGATGCTTCACTCAAGTCAAGATTTCGCGAACTAATTTGGTTTTATCGCCGTCTCGCGCACGTTTCTCACAGCGGTGGCGGCTGTTTTGCGTCCCTGTCATTGGCACCCCCCGCATTCCAGATGGCCGCCGCATGGTAAGGAGATGGTTGGTCACGTTTTCGGGACATGTGTCAACTGCTTACGAGACTTCGGGTTGCTTTTGTTTAATTTATTTGGGCACCCCTCATTCCCTGGGGTGGCGACGCAGGGGTCAAATGCAGGAAGATGCTTGAGGATCGCTCGCCCTCGTCATGACGTTCCTAATGGCCACCGCGCAATGCGACAGTTCTCTCTAAAGACCGGATTTTTATGTAATTACTTTTTTTTTTGTCTTTCTACGTAGCGTTCTGAAATTTGTAGTCTTGGCGAATCGACGCCGTCCTCACGCAATATTCATTTTTTTTCGTTTTATATTTTTACATATTTAGTTCTATATTACATATTTTGCTATTTTCACAAAATATTTCTTGTACTCCATCAATTTTATTACATATATGTTTTTATGAAATGAAGTATTTTCAAAAAAGTCCGCGTTTTTTTCTTCATTATTACTATGTGCTGTCTACTCCAGGTACCCTACGTGAAAACGTGTGATCTAACAGACCAACGCGCCAACTTCAGATATCGGGAAGTGCGCGTCAGCGATTGACCATCTTTAGGTATCACTGACGCCGTTTCACGATCTTTCACTTCATTTAAAGAGAAACTTTGGCGATCGGCGATGTGTAACATTATCAGCTCAACAAAACTACTGTCCTGGGTAGCAATAGACGAATGTTTTGCTACTGACGGGAAAGTTGTTGGGGACACAGAGTGTATCAACTTGTGGTCTTCAAATTATTTTGAAATCGTTTGTAATATTTTTAAAATTTGTTTAGGGAATTTAAAAAAACGTAATTTTGTACTATGTAAATGTATTTTATAATTAGTGAATTTTAATAGTACATATTATATCCGATGTAACATATTTATAACATATTCTTACTGTTTTATTACATAATTATGTACATATTTTGACATTTCATACTACATATTTTTCCGGTATCTAGTTCTCAGGATCACATTCGCAGTGCTGTTGCATTACTACGTAATACTTTCCTCTCGGCGTTCCGTTCAGCATGCTTGTCTGCTATGGTCCTGTATACTTGAACACATATCTTCGGTTGTCCCTCCAACCATCGCTTTTCCTTCACACTACAATCAGTGATCCGTTTCTGCCATCGACTAATATCTGGTTAATTATTTATCACTCTGGCAAATATACTTCCTAAATTAAACTCAATTTAAAATACATTAATTGTTCGTTACTACGTTCAGCAACATTACGATCAACCACGATTTCTATGCACATTTCTCGTACAGTCAACTAAGTAAATTTCTTTCCTTCAAATACATCTTTATTCGTCCACAGCACAATCATCTACCAGTTTTTCTGCTCTCAATAGTACCCCGATAATATTTTGTTATCATTTTTCCTACAGCACTTCAATGCTATGTTGTCACCCTTTGCTATTGTATAACACTAATCCCCCTTGTTATATCATAACTAGTGGCACAGACTCTCCCGTATTAGTTTTCTATTTCCTTTGGTCTCGGCTAGCTATTCGAACCACCCAAAGCACACTTTTTTTCTTTTTCTTTTCTTTTTTTTTCCTTCAAATTTTCTTCATTTTTCGGTTTCCTATTAATGAAACGGAAATATTTATTTTAAGAATACTAAAGAACAGTAAACCGCCTCCTAAATGGCAATTTTCATTGAAAAATTTGGAGCCGTTTTTAAGAAAATGCCGCTTAAGCATTACAGTACATTCGAAATTTGAAGCACTTTTTCGCAGAAAAGTTTTGAGTTTTAGAAAAACTTCATTTGAAGTAATTTGAAGTACTTTAACTCACAAATACAATAGTGCTGATCACATCGTCACTGATCATAATTCTCAAATTATAGTTCTTACGCAATCACGCAAGAGTATTGGTGAAGCACTGACAACTTTGGCAGGAGGGAAGCTGTTCACAAAAATAGATTTTAACAGGGCTTACACGCAAGTATCTGTGGATGAAAAATCTTTAATGATCCTCACTTTCAACGCAACGAAGGAACTTTGTTAGAGTAAAAAGACTGCCATTTGGAAACGGGCATGTTTGATTCGGGCGCTGCTGATGGAGGACTTGAAGGGGATTCCAATGCTTTTTTATCCTTGTCATATTTTTTAAAATTATATTTGTTTAAAGTTTTTCTGTATTGAATTCAAATTTTGGAGACTGAATTTCAATATTCAAGCCACGTGTTTAAAAATCTTCCTTGGGTTATCTCTAATGACTTTTTTGCGAAATAAATATTCCCTTCCCTATCCTTATCTTAATGAAATCAATAAGTAAGATTTCGTTTAAATATGAGTTATTCCCTTTCAAAACTGGAAATTTAAATGCATTAAATGTTTATAAATGATAAATTACATTGTAACAAATAATTGCGGTATTTTGTGTCACAAATTACCGTCAGTTCAGATTCTGATTAAAATATATTATGGTAATATTTTTGCATTAAACGTTACGTTTCGAATATATATTCGTGGCAAATTTTTACTGATCATTTGGGTTCATTTGTTGCAATTCAATAGTAGATAATATGTACTAATAGTCAATGTCATATTATGATTTAATAATTCTGCAGGCAAATGTTAAAAGATTAGAAGAGATAATATGTAATATTTGGACTTTACTTTTACGAAAATGCCTTAAAAGGTTAGCATATCGACGTGATGTTGCTGAAGTTCAAGTGTACCGCCTGACTTAGCTGCTGACGCTTTTCATACATATTTCCACCATGATGATTCCCTTGCAGTCTTCTTGACTTGATCATAACAATAATTACTCTCCTAACCGGAAAGTAAGGAGATGACTTCTTCCATGATGTTACCACAGACCAATTATTCTTCCGTGATGATACGTTGGATGAAAATAATTTACAATGTCGCCTTGGTACAAAATGTACTTCTAATATGTGCAGATTATGTGGCTGCAGTAGCGCCTCTGGAGGGAGAGTGCTTTGTGTACCTACCCTTCGTTGACATTCTCATAGGGATTTTAGAGTATCGCAGTTGGCATCATTGTGGAGTGAGGATCCCGAAGATTTGACAGATCTTTCAGGTGATCGTAGATGACAGCTGTGTGGTATGTCCAAGAATGTTGGAAAAGCTCTTGAAGAAGAATATTTCTCTCTTACACGACACTCCGTAAATCAAGTGCATTTGATATGGTAAATATGGTTGTATTGTATTCATTTGCAGGCAAAATGGTGTGTACATTGTATTTTCTTGTGAGAGAATTAACTTGTTTTCAGAAGTCTGGATTGAATATGTTGCCGTCAGATAAGAACAAAATCACTCAAACTAATGTGACGACGAGAAGTGTAAGGATACAGAAATGACATATTGCTGTTTACGTGTATATTTTGGTACACAGGCCCGTGAATGTGCGTCGCCAGCGAAGGTCGGAGCCGGGGCGCGACTGGCGATGCCGCCGGCTGCGGGTTTAGCATGAGCGTGACGACGTGCATACGTGCCCCGTGTGTGTCGCCGTGCGGCGATGCTGGGTCTAATGCTGGCCCTTGTAGGGCTAGCCTTGGCTGCGGCGGCGGGCGCCGCGGCGACGCTGGCGGCACAGTGGTACCTCTTCAATCGATGGATTTCCGGCCAGCCCAGCGTCTCTCCACAGGCCAAACCCGCACACGAGCCTTTCCAGTTGCCCGAGGTGCGAACACCCTCCTAGTTTCCGATATTGACATGTCCTGATCACACCAGATAGGTTTTCAATGTTATGCCTCTTAGTCGTTTTTATCTTCATGTTTTTTATCCAAAGACTTTTCTTGTTCAGTTCATCGTAGTTAGGGAGTCCTTTTCACTTTGTATAGAAATGCCTGTTTTGGATAGTTTTAGCAAAATATGATATGCCTTCCAATTATACATATGTAGTTCAGTTCTTTTGCTGAACTTACTATATTTTCAGTGTTTTTTAAAAGCAAAATATTTGCTCTCTCATATTGTCTCCCAAATTATGCTCGTGCCAATAGTAGATAGAAATGTTTTCTTTTAGAAATGCCTTTCGAATGAGTACCATGTGTTTATGATAATTTTAGCAAAAAAAAGAAGAAATAGAATGCGTTTTGTAGGGACATTAAAATATTACCTTATTTATGTGGATTCTAATATAATTTGAAAAATATTCTGAATTTTACTATTTAATTATATGTGTAAATTTTGCATGCTTATGTAATTGTTTTGAGTATTAAATTTGTTATTATTTGACTGTTTAGATCTTAGCTGAAGCATTGCGATCAGGAGATGTCAGCCGACCTGAAAGTTGTGTTGCTGTGAATTTAGTGTTGCAATTCCTATTCCGAGAACTTCGACATTCCCCTCAAGTGCGCAGATGGTTGCATAAAAAGTTGTCAGCTGAGTTTGCAGAGTTGTTGACACGAACCACAACAGGAAAGCTATTTGACAGTGTAACAGTGAGTCTTCTTTTTTTTCGCACAATCTTTTGTGTAGAAGTTGAATATTATAACTCTTTCATTAGGGTTTTTTTGTTTTCCTGTTTTGAGAGTAGAAAAGGGTGCTAAATAAATTTTGATGGTTAAAGTAGTGTCGGGTATACCCTTAGAGAACAGAGATTGGAGAGAAAGAAGTGAGTGTCAACTGAGGAGTAATCAGTTATAGATGTCACATGATGTACTTGCCATGAATTTGTGAGAAACCGTCACTTGTGCTGCCCTTGGGTCTTAAAGACACCTCCAAAAAACTAGCTGACAGTAACATGCCATGCAAGTCGAATACCTACAACACTATGAATATTTCACTCGCTTTATTTATGCATTTTTTTGTTACATTTCATGTCTTGTTTCTTCTACTGACAAATTGACACTTTGCGATTAACATAAAACATCCTTGGGTTTGTGCAAAGCAATATCAACATGTTTTGTGTGAAAATACTTTAAGGAGTCCTCGCCTCATATATCTGTAAATGCAAATTTTTTTTTTTTATTTGTTTCAAGTTATCATCCTTTTGTCACTTTCACTAAATTGAATTATATCAGTCATACTGTTTTGCTGAATTTTTATTAAATAAACACCTGTTTAACACATCTATAACTCTACACACCGAACGTATAAAGGTCAGAGCAGTTACAATTCTGACCACTAATGATAAAAGGCTTCTCTCAAAATGTTCTAACTTCTTCTTTTCCTCTACACTCCTTTTCCTTCTCCAGGTTTTCCCTTCAAGCAAACGGTGTATGCATGCTGAAATGCCTGTTGCTATTACAGTGTCTGTCTCTGAGGTCTTATGGTTTCAATCTCAATCGTGGCAGATTTTCAACACTTGGTATATAGCTAGATTGAATTTCGTACCATTTGGAGGAGAATTCTAGCAGCTAGTTGCTCTGATCAATCGTTTTGTATATTTTTTTCTGATCCAAGCAATACCGTAACAAACTGGCCACATCACATGCATGTTCTTTCCTTCCTCACACTTGTCCCCTCACCTTGCCTTTATACACACATTTATTCTTTAATGCACTACAAATCATTGGGAGATCAGTGTGTAGCTTAGAACTTGTCCCTTGTGGAACAGCACCCCAGACAGATACCTGGGGTGGAAACTTGATGACTAGCTGTCTTAGACTCTGGATGTCACCATCCTTGAGGAACACCTCCGCCTTCCAAGATATAGTGTGCACTAGACTTATGGGTTGCATTTGAGTGTGGATGGCATCAGTATTTATCAGAAAAATAGTTTTCAATTAAGTAGTGTTGCATACTTTCTACTTATTCCTATTTTTAATCACATTTGTAACTTCTGTTCTCAGGTGCGAGAAATAAATTTGGGATCTCAGCTTCCAGTTCTACATTCCATTGCTGTGCGCGAGGCTCGCATTGACCCTGCTGTGGGACACTTGGAACAGTTAGACTTGAACTTGGATATGCATTACTCAGGGGGCTTCCAGTTAGCTGTTGATGCCAACATGTTGCTTGGCAAAGCAGCTTATCTTGCTGTAACAGGTAATGGAGATGATCGAATAGCATGAACTTAATTGTCATGGTGACACTGGGTTCATCTGACATCTGCAGGCTTCATCAATTCATTACACATAATGTCCTAAGGATTGTGTCCTGATGCAGAATACTGTTTGAAATGTTTAAAACATTGCGTAGAGTTAAGTGGAAATCGTCATCTATTATAAGATAATGTGTGAGTGGGCCTTGTTTTCTTCAGTTGTTGAATCATTTTGTATAATTTAACAGATGAATTGTAGGTTAAAAAGACAACTTCATTCCAATGAGGGTGAATTATGAATCAAAGAAAAAGTCTTGTACGCATGCTTACTCGGATGTACACTTAAGAATACAAAGCTTGACAAGATTCCAGGGAATTACACTAAATCTAGAAATATGTACATATGTACAACAGCCAGTGCAAAAACACATCCAGCATGGCAATCACATTAAAAGGATCAATAAACCTCGTAATGTGACTATGTATATTTCTAGATGTAGTTTAATGTATAATTAAATTTTGTTTTTCTAAATGCTGTCTTCATATGCGATTTTATAATGAATGCTAGTGTTTCATTATCATGTTATTTATAAATTAACATTAAATTATTGTTTATAATTTAATGTCAGTAACATGTTATTTACATTCTTTAAAAACCTCAATATGCTCTCATGTTCATTATATTCATTGTAACCTGAAGATGGGGAAAAATCCATGTCTTTGAAACCTTACAGAAGAAACTATGAGTAATGAAAAATAAAAACTTTTAAGTTTAAAATCAAGATACTGAGTTATTTCAAAAAGTTTTTTAAACTACTGTCTGTCAGAAACTCTGTGGCCAAACTCATCGAGTATAATTGAGTCAGCAATTGAGTAAGTCGACATCTCTAGACGAATTCATTCACTATGCTCCGTGAAGTCATGGAGGTTAAGCAAATTCAAGACTTGCAGGTTGGGTGGGTGGGGAGTTCCTGGTTGATCAGCTAGGAAATCCGGGATCTAATGGCCCTAAGATCCTGGGCAAAGAAATAAAAGGCAGCAACTGACTCCAATATTGTGACAGGTCTATGGTCCAATTAGTTAGTGAAGTGACGAGACTTGGCAAAGAAAATCACAGAGTATTACTCCATGGCAAACGCTCAATGGCCAACATGGGTTTAAGAGATGCATTACCTCAATGACAATGCAACAAATTAAAAAATATTCCAATTATGTAATCAGACTATGTTGTGATATGATTCCACAATTAACTTGAGAAAAAAATAGCATTTCACAAAAACGTCTCCTGCCACATTTTTTCTACTGGAATTCTCTTATACAAACAAAATACAATTATATATTGAAATAAAATTTAAAGTAATACATTATAGTAGTTCAAAATAATTACAAAATCTCTTGTTTATGTAATTTAAAATACTGAAAAATGAATGAATTACATAAATAAGTTGAAATTATTCATTATTTAACTCACCATTACAAGCACATGGACTGAGATCCGCACTCTTCTTTTTCCGCCTATCATTGTCAGTTATCATGAGGTATTGAGTTGCGGCTTCCTATATCTTGCGCAGCCATAGTGACTCATCAATAGGTGTTGAAAAAACTTTCCTCAATTGTTGCTCACAGTGCAATTTTTAGCAATGCGGAGCTTTATTCTGCGCGCATGTGTTCGTGTTATAAGTTCTACTCTCACATTTCTCATTTGTGTTTCTATTTAAAAAAATATTTATGCATTTCTCAAATAGTTTATCAATGTGCTATCAGAGAAGTGCATAAATATTTTTTCTATAACATTAATTTACTTATTTGCATATCAACAACTCCAACATTGTGACAGGTTTATGGTCCAATTAGTTATAAATGTAGATTGTTATTCAATAAAAACTCCACTTGAAATATTTTCTAATCTAAACGATTCAAGATGGTGAGATGAAATTATGACCAAATAATTCAGGTCATAAGGGCTCATCCTTATTATCTGTTTGATAGCATTTTTTATTTTAAATATTTTGAACCGTTTCATTTGTTTTAAGTATCACTGTACTTATTGTTGTTATTATTAGTAGTGTCGTTATGTTGTTCTCTATTTTATAATGTTTTTTCACTAACAGATTGCTTGCAGAGAAATGTGTTATTACAAATCATTAAAAAAGTTTCATTAAATATATCCTATATATAATCTCATTATATTCATAATATATCTAATAAAAATACAAAAATAAATTCCAACAGTTAAGAGATATAATTGCAACACAAGGTCTATTTGATATTCATGAAAAATACTGTAAAAGTTCAAATTGATTACTACTGTGAAATTAATATCTTAAAGTATTAAATTTGAAAGAAAAAAAGTGTATTAAGTTAGTGAACGGTCAGTCCACGCATGTGTACTTGTCACAAACACAGCGTGTGTAACAGAGGGTTAAAGAATATTAATTTAGTTTATCTTAATGAACACCTAATCATTTGTCTTAATAAAAAAGTAATTTCATTTCTTTCTTTCTCAGCCTTTGCTCTTTCAGTTGAACAAATTCCTCTACTTAGTAAAATAATTAGGACAAGGCTAATACTGTGTTGTGTCAATGGACTTGGTGATACATCTGGAACCTTGAACAAATTGCCCCCTCTTGCCTTGCCTCACCATCTGTTGAACTCTCATGTAATATGCACTTAATGTGATTAAAGAGAAGTGTCATTGCTTCATTTTAAAAAGTACTTAATTTAGAGAGAAACAAGCACATGTAAAATAGTGACGAATCAGAGTAGAGGGAAAGTTGTCTTCTATTATATTTTGAGAAACAATGTAGAGTCTGTGGTTTTTTGTAGTGGGAGTCTTAGTTGTGACTTGTTTTCCATTGTGCCTTAACTATTATCTCATAATTCTAATTCTCAGCTCTTTTTTTTAACTTAATTAATTTTACCTTTGATTATTTTTATACAAAATACTGTTTTATGTAGTTTATATTGTTTGCAAAATATTGATGAGTAGAGGGGTATCCTTTTGCACGTGAGTTTTGGCTTGTGGGCTGTAACGAAGATGCTGAACTTGAGTATTTCAAGTTGCTAGCTTTTCATGCTTTTCAGATATATTGTGCTTCTTTCTAGTGACTCACCTGTCTGGCCAAGCTCGGCTGCAGTTTCAACGCCATCCATACACACATTGGTCATTCAGCTTCTACAGTGAGCCTCGTTTGGAGCTTGCTGTGGAATCACAATTCCAGGGTAGACCTCTTCCTCAAGTCACCTCTCTTATAATCAGTCAGGTACACATGTCTAATATACCTATATTTTTCAAAGTTAATTATTTACATCTCGACTAGCAATACTTGCCTCAATGATTTTACTGAAAACTAAATTTAATTCTCTCAATTAATTACTTTCTTGTTTGCAAATATATATGCATGAATCAACACATTTAATCACATATGTCTTCGATCACTTAGTTTCTTTGATTGGATTCTATTTACATACATTGGATGTGAAAACCTTTTCTTTTGCACTTTATAGTAATGCTTGCTTATTCTTAGACTTCCAGATGTAGAGTTTTAAAACTTTATATTCTCAGAGTTCTCAATGATGTTTTGCTAAATAAAATTATCACCAAAATAAAGGTTGCAATTGTATAAGCTTTGAACAACACTTGTAAAAGATGTAATAATAATGATAATGAAAGAAATCTAGTAATATTAGTGAAGAGAAGTTGAAGTAATAAAAAAATAACATATATTGTAATTATGGTTACATAAGAGCCTATGTAATTATTGAAGGTCTTTCTTCTGAAAAAGCATAGATTTTAAGAATTTAAAAACGAATTAAAAAATATTGCCTATTGATAAAATATATTATTCTAAAGAGGAAAAGCTCTATTTTTAGTAAAAGTACAAAAATTGTCAAACAATAGCTGTTAGTCAGCTGTGACCAAACACTAATCAGAACATTTGGGAAAGTGTTACATAGTAAGCCCAAAATATAAAAAGTAGTTGGGGAAGAACTCGTATAATACATGCATAATGAAACATGTTTTGATAAGTTCTCTTCAACTATTTTATATGTTGTTATTACTTACTATTTATGTATGTATTTTTTCATCTATACTTGTTCTTTTAGTGATTTTTCATTCTGTTTTCTTTTTAACTACATTTTGAGATTTTTATTCAAAATCTTCAAAATTTTGTTTGTCATTTTTTATTTTCAGATTTAAACTTGTCAGTTATTTTTTTCATTGAATTGTCTCACCTGAAGATATTTGTAACCAAACATGAAACGTCATGTATGAAAAATATCCTTTTTTTTTGTATGATAAACATACTGATTGCCAAAAAATGAAAGGATATTTGTGTTTTATTTATAATTCAATTGGTGAATACTTTTAAAAAAATTTAAGAAGTCTACAGTCTTTTTTCTATTTAAACTCTGTTAAACTAAGAAAAAATATACAAAATAATGTGACCTATAATATTACATGAAGAAGAGTAGGCAAAGGAAAGACTAAAATTTTCTCTGGAAAAAAACCACTATCTCATGAAACTTGTTCAAGATTGGTTCAATTTAATACTGTGTAATGTAATGCAATGTAATGCTGTGCCTCTATGACAAATAGACCTTCACTCTGAATGATGCTGTCATGGCTCAGTGGCAAAGTCACCTACCTTTCATCTCTAAGGTTCCTGATTCGATTCGTGTAGAATCCTCATAGAACTTCATGTGAAATTTGTTACAAAAAAACAAGTTTGCCTTCTTCACCGGGGTTAGTCCAACCTCTGTGAAGCGTACTAAACTTTATTCTTCCCAATTCTGGCTACTGGGTGGTGACACATGAGCGTGTGGAAGGAGGTGCGTATGTGGAGATGCGACCTGGCGCTCCTCTTGACAACTGATTATGACGAGACGTGATTATGACATTACTAGTAATATAGGATTACTCCTAATTAGCACACTAAATTAGTGGAGGATTACTCCAAGCGCAAAGCACTTAACACCCCCAAAGGGCTTGGAGAAGCATTGCATCTATGTAGACAACAAATGTTTTAAACAAATTTTTAAAAACCCTTTCCCCTGCTTCTTAGAAAATGCATACTCAGAATTTAGGATCAGCAGATACTGTTGAAGCAGAAGTAATCTCAACTGTATTCTTGCTGTCGCAGAGCCCATGCATAACTCAATCAAAATCTGATAAATATGTTTTACAGGTCGTTGTCTTATGGCATTGCTGAATTTGGGGGTGAGGGTGCATATTCCCTTTACCCCTCCCCTCTCCGGAATCCATTACTGGCTGCACAGTATGAATGTTCATGTGCGCACAGGCTCCTTGGAAAGAACTTTATATACGATACGTATGTATTTTATATTTCAATTAAGCTCTTACTGCGTGGTGGGAAGAGTTATGTATAATTATATCTGTAGAGGTAGAATTTTTTTCAGCTGCTCTGAATTCATTTTAAGTCCCGATCGGTGGCATTTTCTGTTCAGAAATTTAAAAATGTTTGTGTAGAGGAATTTAAAACCTTAAAATGAGTTTTTATTTTACACAGTTTCAATTTTCTCGTACAGATTTTGGAAAAATTAATGCACATGCATGTACTTTTTTTTAAATAAATTCTATTATCTAGAAAGTATGTTTGCCAAGACTGTGGTTTATATTCATGTTCTACAGATTTCAACATTATATGCAAAACAATTATTTCCAAAATTACATGCCTGCCGCATTGAGCAAGCTTTGCTGTAATAGATTTTTACTCTTACAAACTACATGCAAAATTTGTCCACTGCCATTATTTTGGATGGCGGATCTGAAGTATCTATTTCCAAACTCTCCCCTTTACAGACCGATTTATCAACTACTATTCAGAGAGGAACCTTTTTTATAGAATAGATTTTTGTGATATTGTAACCGCCTAATATATGTGTTGAATGAGAGATCATCCACTGGACCTAATAGTATTCCTACAGTGTACAACCTGTCCCTGTATTGAACAGAGCATTTAAACAGGAAGCTGCAGGAAATTTGCCACCAAAAAGGGGAAAAATCTGTCTTTGCATCTGGTTTTAAGTAGGTAACCACCTTGGTGAATCCATTTTACCAAACCAACTCGTTTACACTAGCTTGCGCCCTTCCTCATGAGTCATCTCACCTACACAGTTTACATGAGGAGTATGTAAGTCTCCTCCGATTACGCAACACTTGTTTTTCTTGCTCTCTATACATGTTAGCTCATTAAGTTTATTAAGCATTTCTAAGTTTTCATTTGGAAATCTGTATGCACCTATTACTTCCAATGTTCTATTAGAGCATTTGCATTTGATTTTTACTTATAACATTTCAAATTCCGCATTTTTCCAGACCTTTTCTGCATTCAAACTAGATTTAACACAAATAAACATTCCACCTCTGCATCCATCTCTGACTCTCCTAAATGAGGCATAATCATAACAAAATATTTCTGCATTTGAAATTTCAGGTTTAATCCATGACTCCGTACCTGTTACAATATCAAGGCAATACTTATCTTTGGAATTCCAAAATTGGTCATATTTAATTACTAAGCTTCTACAATTTATCTGCAAAAGTAATAGAGACTTCCCCTTTACATCCACCGCTACGAAATGTCAGGCACCCCTGTCTGGAGATGTTCCCCAGCCATACTTCGCGCCGTTTCTTGAGAACAACCACTCAAGGGTAGCTGATACTTTTTGATTTAAATTCAGTCTGTCCCTTCCAAAGCCACTTCTCGGTCCAGAATTATGCTTCGTGCCATCTTGGATCTAAGAGTTCATGTCCACAAACATTACCTTTTTTTTGTTTTGCCACCCATTCATAGGATTCATTCACCTTGCTAATGTATCTTCACGCAATATCTCTTCTTCCTAGCACATCAGTTAGCATGATTTTAGCTTCTAGGAATTTCTTCTGCGTTGCCATGACTAATGCGTATATTCCTCTTGTTAATACAATCACATCTCTGCTCTTCAGATCGTTTGTACCAACATGCAGAATCACTGAACCAGCTAACCTTAAACTACTTTTCTCTAGATACCTTTTCATTTTGTGTCCTTATCCCTGGCAAACATTCTACTTGTACAGTTTCACAATTACCTGCATGTCGCACAATTGAGTCGCCAGTAACAAGTACTTCACACTTACTTTTCAGATCTTCTGCAATCTCCCACGCACCAATGTTCTCCTCAACTGTTCCTGAATTTTCCTCCTCATACATACTAGTCGAGTCACTTGTTTCCACCTCCTTTTCTAAAAACTGTTCTCAAACACGCTTTACTTCTAGCTCCTTGTTTCTATGTTGCATTTTGTTGTTTCAGCTTGCATGTTTTCTTCTGCGTATCCGCTACTTCTGACTTCAACTCCTGAAATTGCCTCTCATTTCTTTTGCACTTATTGTACTTATTTCCATCTTCCACTCCAGGAGCAGGATTCACTTTGACACATCCAATTAATAAAAATGTGGCGAGAATTGCAGCACACACAATGCTGCTCCAAGACTACCAATATTACTTTAGCACACGCTATGCATTGTTGCATGCAAGTGTGCTAGCCGTGTCCCCCCAACTCCCAACTCGCGCCCTGAATACCTTTAAGCAGCAGCCCATCACTCCTACCTGTGGAGCCTCCCAGAACACGTCCACACCCTTCGACAACCAAGGAAAGACTGATGAAAACTTTCAATACAGACGGGGAATTGTTCCCACTTCTTCCCAAACGCTGGGCTATCATTCTTTGGCACTGAGTCATCCATTCCCTGAGCCCTGGCTCTGAGCCATCCACCCATTAAGTGAATTAAATTATTATAAAATGATATATATAAAACAAACGTGTAATTTGTTAAATCTAATGACTTGTGTGTAGATTCCTGGATTGTCCCACATCCTGATAATGTTTTTTATTTACTTTCTGCATAATCCTGAGACAAAATGCTGAGAGGGACTCTCTCTTGCCGTGAACCAGACATGCCCAGCAATTTGCACTTAAGTTATAAGATAACTGCCAGTATTTCGAGTGGTCAGGTAGTGCTGCAGATAACCTAATGCTGGTTGCTGAGAAGGCAAAGAAGTTTTTTTTGAGACAGTGCACATATATGAATGCAAGGGACATGTTCATATAATTATATGGGCTGCAGGTGAACATTAAACTCACAAAAAGGCATTTAATTTTAGGGCACGGTCCACTTGTCTGCAGCCTTTCACTAAAGGAAGATTGTCTTTTACTGCACTTGTGTGTCATTTGTGTGTGTGATAATGGGCTTGCCTGTTTAGAAAAGTAAAAGTAACTTTGTTCTTCCTTAAATCATAATTAAATATTTCGTGGGATAAATCAACATATTAACCAAATTATAAACCATAATTTTTCAGATCCGAAAAACTCTAAAAAAGAAGCACACACTGCCTCATTACAAACTACGCTATAAACCATTTTTCCGTAAATCTGGGCTTGGAGAAGAGGAGGATGAAGGAGATGGAGTGAACAGAGAGTCCCCTGCAGGATCCCTGCAGGTTGCCGTGTTGGAGGTCACACGCCTGAATTATCCTAATCCACCCCCTGCATATGTTTATTGTTCTTTGGCAGTTGGTAAGTGTCATGAAGATTTTAAAATTTCAATGTTTCATCAAATATTATTAAAATTTTTGTGCAAGTTGCATATGTTCATTTTGGCTAGATGTAGGTAATTGATTAAATTGATCAATTACTTACCTGGATGTGTCCATTCATGCAGTTTCACATACAAAACAAACTTATCTTCCTCTCCACCCTGCGCCTACTTCCCTCCTTTTTCTCCTTCCATCCTTCTATTCTCCTTTCCTTTTCCCCTCCCTCCCTCCTTTCCTTTTCCTCTCTCCTTCCTTCCCCCTCCCTTCTTCCCTTTCTCCCTGCCACCATCCTCGCTCCCTTCCCCCTTTCCTCTCTCTCTCCCACCATCCTTTACTCTCTCTCTCCTTCCCTACTTTCTTCCTCGCTCCTTTCCTCCCCTTTCTCCCTCCCGCCTTTCCTCCATCCCTCCTTTCATCTCTCTCCTTTCCTTCCTCCCTCCTTTCCTTCCTCCCTCCTCTCCTTCCTTCCTTTCTCTCCCCTTTCCTTCCTTTCTCCCTCACTCCCTCCTTCCTTTCCTTCCTCTCTCCCACCATCCGTTCGTCCTCCTCCCACCTTTATTTACTCCTTTCCTCTCTCCCTTCTTTCCTCCCCCTCTCTTTCTCTCTTCCTTCACCTCCTCCCTCTTCTTCTCCTGTATTTCTCTATCGTCTCCCCTCTCTGATTTCTGCTCTCTCGTCTCTTCCTTCTTTGTGCCTTCCCTTCCTTTCTTCCTCCTCATGTTGTCCCACCCTTTCGCCCGTCAAACCTTCCCTTCTCATTTTGTGCTTCCCTTTCTTTATTCCTCCTACCCTCCATTCCAGCCTCCTACCCTATCTTTCTCTTTTCCTCCCCCTCTCCTTCCTTCTACTATCACTCCTTCATACATACCTCCGCTATCGTATCTTTCTCCCCCCATCCTTTGAAACGTCTTTATTATTCCAATATTCGTCAAGTCCCCACCTCTTTATGTTCTCGTGCTTTCGCACGCAGAGTGTTAGAGAGCGGCCGGTGGCGCTCGTGTCCGCAGACGCGACGGCGTGGGTGGAGGTGGTGCAGCGCGCGGACAGCGGGTCGTGGCTGACGCTGGACGCGACGGTGGTCTCCCCGGGTGCCGGCGCGGAGTCCGGCGGCGGCGGCGGGGGCGCGGCGCTGGGCGTGGTGTTCAAGCAGCGCTTCGTGGCCGCGCGGCTACCAGCCAGTGCTGCTGCGGGAGCCGTGCGGCCGGTAGGCGCCGTGGCGCCGGCTCGCCGCCGCGCCGTGCGGCAACGCGGGACCTGCTGCTGCGTGACGGGCGGCGCGTGCGTCCCTCGCGCAGGCCGCCCGCCTGCTCCGCGCCGCCGCGCACGCGCCCAGGGGCGACCGCTGCACCCTACGCCTGGAACGGCGCGCCCTGCTGCGAGCGCCATGGCCCGCCCCGCCTCCCCCTCGCACCCGGGCGACGGCGCCCAGGCCCCCCCGACCCCCATCCAGGCCCCGGCTCGGCCCCATGCTGCCCGGCCCGTGCTCACCCCCAGCCCCTCCGCCGCCACTCGCGCCGACGCCAAGGTACGACCGTCATCTGTTCTCTTCCAATCCCTTCTCACAAATGTTTCTTCTCTCTCTCTTCGTCCCTCTCTCTCTCACTCACTTCCACATCACAACACACATCGTCTCTCTCTCTTTCACATCGTCTGACTCCTCTTTCACATGTCTCTCTCTCTTTCACATCGTCCCTTCTCTTTCACATCGGTCTTCTTCCATCGTCTCTCTCTTTCACCATCGTCTCTCTCTCTTTCACACATCGTCTCTCTCTCTTTCAACTGTCCTCTCTCCTTTCACATCGCTCTCTCTCTCTTTCACATCGTCTCTCTCTCTTTCACATCGTCGTCTCTCTCTTCATCAGTTCTCTCTCTCTTTCGTCACTCGTCTCTCGTAATCTCTTCATCCTATGTCTCTCTCTCTATTGTCCTACGTATCGTCCTCTCTCTCGTTTCACATGCTCTCCTCTCTTCGTACATCGTTCTCTCTCTCGTATCTCACTCTCACTCGCCTATCGTCTCTCTCTTCATCGTATGCGCTCTCTTCTCTCTCTTCGTTACTACTCACCTTGGGTACGCTTCGTCTCTCAGATGTTGTCTACTATCAATTCGTCTTCTCTCTTCTTCATGTCCGTCGTCTCTCTCTTCAATTTTCTTTCTCATGTCATCGATCCGTATTTCTCTCTCTTCTCATTGTCATCTTCCTCTCGTACACCGTTGTGCTCTCTCCTCTCTTCATCTGTCTCTCCTCTCTTCCAATCGCTTCTCCTCTCGTTTGTCCATCTCTCTCCGTTCATCGCTTCTCTCTCTCTCTTCTCGTATCGTCCTCTGCTCTCTCTCGTCTATCTACTCATCGTTCGTCGAAGTGTCTACATCTCGTCTCGTATCGTCTCTTCTTCTCTCGGTATCGGGAAGATATCTTCACCTCTCTCTCTCTTTCGAGTATCGTCTCTCTCTCTCTCGATCCGTCTCTTCTCTCTCTCGTCATCGCTTCGTATGCTTATGTCTCTGCTCTATCTACCTCGCCTCATACGTCTTCTCCTCTCTCATCTTCTCGTTATGCGTTTGCATCTTCTTCGTGACGTCTCTCTCCCTCTGTCCTTATCGTTCTCTCGGTCTCTCTTCTCGTATCGTTCCTCTCTCTCTCTCGACTCAGTTAAATTCGTCTCTCTCTACTCGTAATCAAGTTCTCTCCTCTCGTATCGTCCTCTCTCTCTCCCTCGTATCAGTCTCTCTCTCTCTCTCTCGCTTCTTCTCGTGCTCCTCTCTCGTCTATCGTATCGTCTCTCTCTCTCTATCTCTCTCTCTCTCTGTATCGTCTCTCCTCTCTCTTCGTATCGTCTCTCTCTCTTCTCTCGTATCGTCTCCTCTCTCTCTCGTATCGTCTCTCGCTCTCCTCGTATTCGTCCTCTCTCCTCTCTCGTATCGTCTCCTCTCTCTCTCTCGTATCGTCTCTCTCTCTCTCTCGTTCGCCTCCTCTTCGTATCGTCTCTCTCTCCCTCCCTTCTCTCTCTCTCCATCCCTCTCGTATCGTCCTCTCTCTCCCTCTCTCTCTCCTCTTCTCTCTCGATCGTCTCTCTCTCCCTCCCTCTCTCTCGTATCCTCTCTCTCCCTCTCTCTCTCGTATGGTCTCTCTCCCCCTCTCTCTCGTATCGTCACTCTCCCTCTCTCTCGTATCGTCACTCTCCCTCTCTCTCGTATCGTCTCTCTCTCTCACACACGCACGCACGCACACACGCATCTCTTTGAATACATAGGGAAGTAGCAGCAAATTTTCATCTCACACAGATGTACTAGGTTATTTTTGGGAGGATGTGTTTCTAGATGTAAATTTCGTGCAACCTTTGACACAGGTGTTGATAGTAAAACTAATTAATTACCGGGCTTGTTACATGTCATTTCATTTCGTCATTTAAACTTTAGACACTTTGTGTGGGAAAAAACCTTAAGCAATAATATTCCATCAACAATTAGCAGGTAATGTGCCCTGTAATTTATGACTCTGAACTGATTGTACAAAGGGTACTAGGAAAGTGTTGCAATACAGCTTTATTTATTTAATTTTTTCAAAGTAATTTCCACCACATTCAATGCATCTTTCCATCCTTCGAAACCAATCCCTAAACCAGTTCTGCCAAGTTTCACTGGGGAGTAAGGTACACTCATTGTCCCAAGCCCTCAGAAGGTCCTCATCACTGGAAAACTGCATTCCTTTCAGCTTCATTTTCACATTTGGGAACAGTGCAAAGCCACAAGGAGCGAGGTCTGGACTGTAAGGAGGGTGCTCAAGAAGTTTCAGTCCTGTAGTGGTCAAATATTCCGAGCAGGCTATGGCGTGGTGAGCTGGAGCATTGTCATGATGGAAAAACCAAGTGTCCATTCTTGAATTTGGCCGCAGATTCTTCAACGATTGAATGACTTTTGGCAGGCACTATTCTGCGTATCTCTTAGCTGTGACAGTCTTTTGTGTCTCCAAAACAACACTCCCACAATTCCACTCGATTTGAAAAATACAGCTATCTTTTTCTTCTTCACAGATCAAAATTTTCAGAGCGCGCGGGTGTCTCCTCATCTTCAAAAATCCAAACTTTGTTTTAAGTCTTGGTTGGCACGTCATAATAGTACAGCCAAGTCTTGTCACCTTTCACGATGCTGTTTACATACCAAGATTGAACCGTTTTAGCATGTCCCAGCACCAAGTCACACGTGTCATCTGCTCTTCAGTCAGTGTGTGCAGCACCCAGAGACAACAAAGTTTCTTCACTTGCAAATGATCATGCAGAATCGAACGAGTTGCTGGTGGATTAAGGTCTAAGGTATCCTCTATCTGCTTGTAGGTCACTCGTCTGTCTTCATCAAGCATTTTCCTCACAGCAGCAATGGTTTCCTCTGTGATTGATGTTCGTGGCCTGCCCACACTTTCAGCATCCTCCAAACTGAAATTTCCCCTTTGGAATTCTCTGTACCACCTGAATATTGTTGTACGATGTGGACAAACATCTCCAAGTGCAAAAGTCAATTCTTCAAAGCACCGGTCTACGATTAAACCATGCGCAAAGTTAACCCGCAAAACTGCCTGAATCTCACTTCTAAACCACGAAGCCATAGCAAGCACTTCAAACTGCCACTGTCACCAAAGAACTGAACCCGCAGACGTCGCACAGCGGCTACTGTGTAAGTATGAACATGTCTCAGCTCCCTGCGACAAGCAGCCTCCTGTGACTTACGGTTGCGTCGTATTGCAAAACTTTCCTAGTACTCTTTGTATTGTCCTTTACACACGGATTCTTTTATAACAAGGTTCAATTGCATTTGTGAAATCTGAAAATCACTTGTAGATTTAGATTCTTCAGTCTTCTCTTTAATTTTATTTCATTTATCAAATGAAAAATTAAAATAAACATGAGAAAAATGAAAAAACATGAGAAAAATAAAATTACTGATTTACAACATTCCTAATCCACAAGTACCTATGTAATTCTTGTAAATCCATTTTCCAAATTCAACAACTTCACATCTGTGTTGTTAATTTGTATCACTATTGTTGTTTCAGTGACTGACTTATTTAAACATGGAAGTGTGATTCTTACTTTGGGTTTTTTGTACCTCTAATTCTAAATCTTAATTTCCATATACAGCAATCCCCTTTTATGCAGTTTTTTGTCAGAGGTGCTGGAGAGTAAAATGAATGAGTCATCTGTTTGGATGTATGAGAAAATTTTTCATTTCGTCTTCTGTCTCTGTCTGATGTTAAAATAATACTCTGGGACCAATATTCTGTATGTTATGGGCAGGAAACTTGAACAAGTGTGTATCTTTCAGATGTATTAAGAAATGGCCCATCATTTGTACATAGGAAATTTGGACTGCCCATATTGTCTCTTTATTAGCAGGATACATTTACAAGTGGGTTCTTTTATAACAATGTTATTATAATTTATTGTATTGAAATAATTCACTCTTGATTCAGAATCATTTTCAAATTTTAAAACATTTTTGAAATTTGGATTTATATGTGAGGGAAATAGTATTTTATCAATACTGCTCACTTCCCCAGGAGGGGGAAGGAAGGCTGGCTGCCCCAGAATCTCCTGTCCTTAGGCGTCGGAAGTTGTCTGTTGACCCTGCGCTCACACAGGCAACTGGGCAGGGAGGCTCTGACACAGACAGCGGGAGCTCCAGCCCTGCATCTGTACCTGGTAAGGAGGATGGTGCTTCTCCATTTGTAATTATAGAAAATATACAGAATTCTTTTCAAAGTGCTTATAGTAGTCTACTTACTGTCAGATCTTCCTAAAACAATTGGTTACTGGTCACCATAAAACCATTGTATTTTGGTGTAATTGAATTAAAACAATGCTTGGTAAAAATTTTCAAATTATTTGTTTGGTAATGCAATTTGTATAAATTTCCTTTCATTTGAAAGAATCTTGTTTGCATTTAAAATAAAAAGTTTAAATATAACGCAGATAAAAGAAAAGTTATGTTTACATAAGCTCAAGCAGCATTCAATCAGGAGTAATAAACTGTCTTATGAGAAAACAGGTTGCTTTAAATTGTGTATTATGCTAAGTAAAATTTTAAAAGGTATATCCTGTATATTTTTATAAATAAATAAGATCACATTGAAACATTTTCTCTACTACCTATTTTTGTGGGCTCCAGAGTTGGGCAGTATTTAAATACTTGTACTTGAGAAACTGTATTTTTGAGTATTTTGGGCATGTATTTTAGAGATTTTAGAAGTATATGTATTTAAAAAAGAAATACTTAAAATACGTCAAATACAGATGAAGAAGAGGAAGATAATTTAAGACAAGGATAGATTCTTTTTGTGTGATTCCTCTAGTGAATGCACCTCATTAAAACATAAATAAAAGCTCCTTTCCGCAGTTGAATTTGGATTTTTTAAATTTTGAAATAAATCTAAATCATTAAAAATGCTCTACCGACAATAAAAAAAGTCATTGATTTGTTATAACACTAGTTTAATTTTTTACATTACATTATTTTTTACAAAATTTTTAAATTACATGGCATAAATTGCATGGATGCTTCAATTACCATCTCCGAGAGTATCTCATGATTACCATCAAATTGCCACTATTATGGATATAAGTACTCTAAATTCATTTAGTTTATGTTCATCCACATCAGTTGAAAGACTGTTTTCCTTTGAAGGTTTTTATACATTTGCCAACTAGGAGTTTGTTGTGTGATGATTTGTTTGAAAAATTACTTATTTTACAAGGAAATTCCATTTCTTTGTGTTAGACATATTTTTGATATCATTTTATATATGAAAATATTTATACATATTGTTACAATACATTACAATAGTTATTGTTCAGAAATTTGTATGACTGTCAATTACTAATTTATTGTAATTGATAATTACAATTCGTTGTTGCAATAATACAATGCAAAATTATTATATATTTACAGTATTTTGAGTATTTTAAGTATTTTACATACGTTTGTATTTAGCACACTGAGTCCTAATGTATTTTGTGTATGTATTTAAAAACCTATTTACATGGCATTTTGGCAAAGTATATCAATACTAAATTAAAAGTATTTTTCCCAACCCTGGCTGGCTCATACTCTGGCTACACCCTTGTTCAGTTATGTATACTGTGAAATAGACAATAGTCCATCAAATGTGTGTATTATTTAATTAATTTTATACTCTGTTCTTCTGAGTAGAAATGTTGTAATTTGTACCCATACAGTAATCTTCCTTTCTCTCTGAAGGATTAGTAAGACTCTCATAGTCTTGGAGGTAGCTTCTGTGTTGTGGTTCAGGTTTTCCAAACCACCATGTAGCTCTTAATAAAAGAGCCTTTCCTTCTCATCCCTTCTCCCATTGTTGTTAGGATTGGTAGGGTAATTTGGACTGCCTTTGGACAGAGGAAGTTAAGTGTGATCAATGAGTCCACAGACCATGACATGCGTATCACCTTACAGTCCCCTTTCCTCCCTGAATTTAATCAGATCTAAGTTTTGCTACAGGCCCATGGGGTAGAGACGACTGTGTTTGAACAGAACTTAAATGGACCTCAGCGGTGGGAAGGAGTTACAGGCTGCATCAGTATGTCAGAGGGCAGTGTTAGAACTCAGAAAGGGGGATGTCGGTATATCCTAATGGATGACAATGATAAGTACAATGATCTACCTCTCAAATGGAATTGAAATGAACTTACTTCCTACCGATGCTGCTGTTTTTGACATGTCTTATACCCTTGATTACTTAGTTTATTTTTAATAATTTTAGTAGTTTATTTAATCTGCAATTTCACTTGTACACTTGTGTGTTTCTATGATGATTTTTCTTTGGAACATTTTGAAATGTGACAGGGTCTCCTGCTAAGCGGCCTAGTACTGGTGGCAGTGGAAGCCAGTCAGCCAGTCCCGAGCATAGGCGGAGTACTGATGAAGGAGATCCCAATGATGAAGGATTGCAACTGCAGCGAACACAAGAATTACCTCGAGCCCAGGTACTTTGTCGTTTTTATATTTTCTTAAGGAAACACAGTAATTTCTGCCTATATATAATATGAAATATTCAATTGATGGCGTATTATATTCAAAATTAATGTTATTAATGGTATCAAAACAATAGTGTAAAAAAGGAAATCCTACATTAGTAATATATGTAAAAACTTTAATAAAGTTATCAATCTGTTGTCTTACATTTTATTCTGAAATATCAAGTTTCAGTTATCTAGAGTTAAGTTACTGGTTTGGGTGAGTGATGTGGTAGATATTCAAAGATCCATTATCTTGAACGATTAGGAATCACGAAAATTAAATAATGTACAGTAAAGTAACGTAATGTAAGAATCAGATCAACAATTATATTATTAAAAATATATTGTTTGTTTCATTTGAATTATTGATGTTTCTCTTTAGGGTTCAAGTTTTCTTTTTTTGTTTTTGTTTTTTCCATGAAGTATGTGTGTAACTATAAAATCACTTTGCTTTCAGGATTTTCATGGTTGTATTCCAGTAAAGTATGCTCATTCACAATATTTGTGAATATAGTAGCTATGATGTTTTGAAAATGGTTTAAGAATCGTATAAATAGAATTTATGTTGCAACTTTTCAGGTTGTTTAAGTTTTATCCTTAGTATCTGAGGACCAAACTGATAAACAAAATATCGATTTAAAAAAAATATTGTTTGTACATCAGTGTATTGAGTGATTTTAGTCTGTTTGCCTTTTATTAAAGTAAGTATTGTGTTCATAAGGTTAATATTGTGATTGTTGAAATACTTTTTTTTTTTAGGTTGGTGAAGTGTTTCATTGCAAAAATGTGTACTATATTTGTGATTGGCAGTGAATAGAAATGCTGAAGTTCATTTTATTTAGTGAAATATCTTAATAGTTTTCATTTGTTAATATTTAACACCTGTTTAAATAATCTATTGAACTCTTCCTAAAGCATCTGCGCATCATCTTCACTCTGAGTTGGGACAGTTGTTTATTTTTAACTTGTCAAAATACCACTCTGAGGATACCACCCTGAGAATTTTACCACCCTTTTCATTACATTACTACTGTATTTTTTAAAACAAATGGAATAAAGTACAGGAAATACACATTGAGGTATTTGAGTCCAGGAAACACTTTGTTTCATCTCCTGCTATTGCCCACTTAATGTCATCATGAGCAGCACTAATGATGAAGTCAGTGCGTGTCATCATGTAGATTGTCACTTTTGTCGGGCAACAAGATGCATGCATGGAATGCCAGTAGGCTACACTCAACATGTTCAAGGCATTTAACTGACTTTTGTGACATTATACCATGACTAATCCCTACAGTTGCTGCAATTTCTTCAGTCTTCATGTTCAAGCTTCATTACTATTTTCACATCACTTGTTTAATAATTTCCATACATTTTGTTGGAACTTGGCAGCAGAAATCTTGATAGCAGTCCATCTCAAATCAAATCCATCTTGATTGTGGAAACTGTCATTCTCAAGTTTCATCTTTTGCATTTAAATACCCTTTACTCAAGAGACATCATTGCCTCCTCTTGTATGTTTCAAGTACATTTGCTGGAACATAGTTAATAAGAAGTTGGCAGAGTTCTGTAGATTTGCTATAATTTTCACCGGCCTTAATAGAACATAACTGTTAATAGAAACATTATGAATGTAATTTTCAAGCATTTATGTTAATAGTGTTTTAGTTTCTAAGATTGGCATTGTTAGTTTTAATAAATACTCGATATTTGGAGTATTCTGCCATATTAAAATTGAAACAATTTGCTAAAAAAATTGAATTAATTGCAGTAATTTATAACTTTTCTTCAGGTTATCTCGTTTGAAGAATCATTGCAATTTGAAGTGAGACCACAACATCGGTACCTCAATGTCAGTGTGTGGGGGCGTGCAAGAGATCAATGTCCTCGAACAGCAACTTCCTCTGCTTCTTCCATACCAACATCAGGTTCAGCGAGCCCTGCATCTACTGCAGGGCCTGTACCCGATCAGCTCCTGGGCCACGTGAGCCTCTCCTTAGCCCCTTTATTAGCTGAATGTCAAGCTGCTGGACCGCTCACCCATCAGGTAAGAGGTTTTGTTTTACTTTCCGTGGTAAATGTAAATACCAGGTATTTTATTTAGAAGATTAAAAATAAAATTTTAAATCTATTGTCCTGAGCATTCATTGTGGTGGTGCATGCCGTCTGCCCTCTGTTTAAAATTATGTTTGGATGTTTTTAAACTAAACTTGTACAAAATAAAGTAGATTTGCATACTTTTGAATCAAATGAAGACATTGGCATTTGGCCAATGAAGACAAAAAGAGAATAGACAAGATTTGCTCAAAAAGTAGTCCTTTTTTAAAATATTCGTTGTTTAGACGAGTACATTACACTGAATCGTGTAACGTGTAGGCCATTAAAGCATTTAAAGTTTTTAAAAGATTGCAGACAGGTTGCCTTTTAAAAAAAGTGATAGCATAAATACTTAATTAGCAGTAGGTCTTCACTTTATGTAAAGCGATTCACAAGTTTTGTGGTTATGGAATATCTAAAGAATACACTTGCTCAGCTCTACAATTGAATTCTTTTAATAATCTTTTGCTTCTTACAATGTATTGGTTAACGAATGGTATAAAAATAATTAATAATTCTACTTGTTAATATTGTCTGTTAAAACTTTGAACATATAAATATCACATCATGAAAAGTATGAGAAGACTGTAAGGATACATCCCTCTACAATCCCACCTTGATATTTATTGTGAACATTTGACAACTATCTCCAATATACAAGAACAAATATCCAAACTGCAGATTGATTATAACTGGTGATTATAACATTCACAGTAGTCTACCACAATTGGATTGTGAATCTTTCCTCTATGAAAGATTCTATTTGTTGGAATGTTCTCAGTTAAACAAGATTTGTAATAACCAAGCTCGATTACTAGACCTTTGTTTCAGTGATGTGGATGCTCGTGTTGATAAAATACCTGCTATTCTGTATGAGGATATATTTCATCCTGCATGATCCATTAATCTGGAGTTCAGAGCGAGCCTGAGACCAAACATCTCCCCACATATTTATTCAGGAATGCTGATTATGTATAATTGAATAACTTCTTTCTGAAAATAAATTGGATAGAGCTATATAAATTGGACAACATATATGATAAAATGAAATGGTTCAGTGACATGATCTACTGGGCCATAAATCAATTTGTTCCAATAAACTATGGAAGAAAAACAGATTTTCCAATTTGGTTTTCTAAGGAATTAATATGTTTAACTACACAAAAAAAATTGCTCACAAAAATTACAAAATGAGAAAAAGTCTGGGTAATTATATTATTTTCTGTACACTTAGATCAAAATGTAAACAATTAAGCAAAAACTGTTACAAAAATTACTTAGAAAAAACCAAAAATGACCTGAACTTGGATCCTAAAAAATTTTGGAATTTTATGAAAAATATACATCGGAATAATGTAGATATTCCCTCCAAGGTGACTTGGAAAGATGTTGTAGCAAGTAATGGAGTAGATGTTGGAAATTTATTTTCAGCTTTTTTCCGAAGTGTGCATGATGAACCTACAGGATCTTCAACCGGAAGTGATGTTGGCAAAGAGTATCCAGATGCGAAGCTCTCCAGATTTGAAGTCACCTATGTTAATGTTTTCATATATTGACACAACTTAACATCAACCAAGGACAAGGACCTGATGGCATACCAAACATACTACTAAAAAACTGTGCTGCAGGATTATGTAAACCGATCGCACACCATTTTTGATAAATCACTTCCATTGGGCCTACTTTGCCATCCACCTGGAAATTTCACTTATATCATACCAATTACATAAAAGTGGAGACAAGTTCTAAAGTGATAACTATAGCCCATATGCATTCAACATTTCACTTGCTAAACTTTTTGAAAAATCGTTTCTCCCACAATTGACAAAAGCCTTTCAAAAATATCATTTTCGTATAAACAACATGACTTTATTGGAGGAAGATCAACATCTACAAATCTCTTCATATACATCAACTATATCTTAAATGCCTTAGACAAAGGTGAAAATGTGCACTCTTTATACACTGATTTCAGTAAAGCCTTGGATAAAGTTAATCACGAAATATTGATATCAAAATTGAGCAGTTATGGTGTTTGACTAACAGCCCTTCAGTGGCTTTGTTCATATCTGACAGGTGGGAGATTACAAGTGAAAGTTAATGGTCATTTATCACATGAATATGATGTTTTGTCCAGTAGACCACAGGGTACTCATGTTGGACCAATATTATTCAGTATTTTTATAAATAATATTGGTGAAGGATTGCAATTAGAATTCTTGTTATATGCTGATGATATGAAGATCTACAGAACTATTGTGAGCGAGAGTGATGTGGTTATTCTACAACACCACATCTCTGTACTCAAGAAATGGTGTATGGATAAAAAGTTATTCTTGAACATTGGAAAATATGCTGTGATAATCTTCTCTCGTGCTTATGGTCAATACAATGTCAACTATCAGATAGATGGAAGAAACTTACCAATTGTTAATTCATTTAAAGATCTGGGCATAATTATTGATGAGAAACTTACTTTTGCTGATCATGTGGACAAAATTTCTAAAAAAGCATACAAAATCTTGGGATTCATATTCAAATAAAGAAAATAATTTAGAAGCATCAACACTCTGTCTCGTTTATTTTCTGCATTTGTGGTACTAATGCTGGAAAACAGAAGCATAATTTGATCATCATACACCGCCCAACATATTACACGAATTGAAAGAGTTCAACGAAAGTTCTGCAAATCCTTAGTTTATTACTGTCAAGATGAAAATGTGACAAACCTGATGATGTGAGTGATCTGGGCTGTCCGGGTAACTCCGCGTCGAAGGCTGAGTTGCCGACGTTTCGACCATCCTGTCGTGGTCTTCTCAGGGCTGGCATGCAAAACGTCGGCAACTCAGCCTTCAAAGCGGCGTCACCCGGACAGCCCAGATCACTCGCATGACTCTGGCCACGGAAGCCTACGACTTCAATCAAACACTGATTATGTTTACGACCTACTTAAGATTGATAGCTTTCAAACTTGGAGACAAATCATAGACCTTATTTTTTCTACAAAGTATTTAATGGCTTTATCGACTCGCCTGAAATATTAGAGCAATTTGGTCTTGCGCCAGGCCTAATTTGCATACAAGAAGATGTGAATGTGAATAATTCCAACAAGAATTATGTCATCTTTGGGCCATACAATAGAATAGCTAACATTG